CTCTGACCATCATTGACACTCCAGGATACGGAAACACTGAAGGATCCGAGAAAGACAGAGAGATTTCTGAGTATCTAACCAAATTATTTTCAGCTGAGGATGGGATTCATTATATTGATGCAGTGTGTTTTGTGATGAAGACGTCTCAGAATCGACTCTCTGAAAAAGAGTTTTACATCTTTCACTCAGTTCTGTCTATACTTGGTAAAGATATAGAGAACAGCATAATGTTTCTCATGTCACAGTCAGATGGATTACCTCCAACAGATGCTCTTAATGCCATTAAAACAGCAGAAATACCCAGCAGAAAGAAAACTAAAAAACAACCTTTTCACTTCGTATTCAACAACCGACAGAAAGAGAAAAGAGACAAAAAGTTTGATCATATCTACAGATTATCATGGGAAATGGGAGAGAGAAGCATAAATGAGCTCTTCACACTCCTGGAAGAAAAGAACAGAAAAAGTGTTCAGTTGACATTAGATGTTCTGAAAGAGAGAAGCAAACTTGAGGTCTGTGTTGACAATCTGAAGGAGAGAATCTCTGAGAATGAGTTAAAAATTAAAGAACTGAATCAGATTCAGGAAGCCCTCAGACAGAACGGAGAAAATATTAAAAATTGTAAAAATTCTGAGGTTAAAGTCAATAGAAGTTTCAAAGAAAAAGTCTCCATTGAAAATGCATCATGGAGGAACAGAAACGCAACCTGCTGCTCCGTCTGTGAGGAAAACTGTCATGAAAACTGCTGGTTTGCAACCTGCTGCTCCATCTGTGAGGAAAACTGTCATGAGAACTGCTGGTGGGTGAATGATCTCTCATGGTGTGAAGCCATGCGGAACTATAACTGCACTGTGTGTACAGGAAAGTGTCATTACAGCAAACATGTCAGAGAGAACAAAAAATATGTGATGAAGACAAAGGAAGATAAAATGAAATTTGAAGAATTTGAAAAAGAGTACGAACACAATGGTGACCAGAATGGAACCAGCTTTAACAAAGAAGAATATGAAAATATTAAAAAGAAACTTGAAAACAACATGAAAGAGTCTGAAAATAAAACAAAAGAAGAAGAAAAACTGAAAAGTGAACTGGAAAATAATAAAAATGAAAAGTCCAAACTGCTGCATGACGCTTACATCAGCATCGTGAGTCTGTCTAAGGTCGCATTAAAATCTG